TAATTATACCCCCATAAGCCATTAATTCATCTCGTTTCCAACTCATAAAAGTCAGTTATTAATAATTTATTGCTAAATTGTCATTGATTCCACTTGCTATAAAATCTTCCTTTTGTTTTTTATGGAAAGTTAAAAACGAGAATAGTTAGGAATAGATATATTTTGGCTGAATTTTGGACTTTTGGGATGTGAAGAAATAAATAAGATCAATTTTATTTTTATTTATTTCTTCTAGAAACAAGTAGTTCAAGGGGCATGGTGTCATTGTGCTTGAGAATAATGGGCAACACAACACCCTCTCAATCACACAACATTTTGTGCATATAAACATGTTTGTTCACAAGTCTTTTAAAGTGTTATACCTTTTTTTATTGAAAGAAATTAATTTAACCAGAATAGGCAGGCATTTTTTTTTTTTTTTGCTTCATGGGGCTACACAACTGGGGGGGGAGTAGACCATCCCTCATCCCTTTAACCCCCCAACACCACCTGGTGGTAGAGATGCCAATGGGTCGGGTTAAACAGTAAACCCAGCTTGACCCAACCCTATAGGGTTGGGTTATGGTTTTGATTCTTTGGCCCGAGTCGGGTTTGACCCTTGCATGTATGCATAGTATTCTTGTAACTTTTTGACTTGTAACTCCATAGCCTTATATTGATTTTGGTTTTCTTCTTTTTTTTTTAAAAAAAAAGATTGGACATATCTCTCATATTATATATTCATCATATTAAACAAAATGTGTAATAAACAATGATGATGATAATAATGATAATTGTTATTGTCATCTGAAATTTTCACGTGCAACGCATGTATACATTCTAATTTCATTAAAGATAAGGAATAAGTTCAAAAGTGGGGGGAGGTAAACTCTCTTTACTCTCCCCCCAAAAAAGTAGAAAAATTACAATATAGCCCAAAGCAACTGATTCCTTCCCACCCCTTGTTTGGCAACTGCATCTGCAAAGGAGTTAGCACATTTTTTTACCCACTGCCAAGGTTCAAAGTATCGATACACCCCTGTGTATCAGCAGAGGCGTATCGGTACTAAAAGCCATGCGCGTTTGTGTTGAAATTTTGAACCTTGCCCACTGCAATTTCACATCCGTACTTAGAGTCAACCACATAAAATAGTCTTCGTTCATTAATGTATGGCCACATGCCATTATCCTCCTTTCCTAACCATCCTATTACCACTTTGGAATCTCCTTCGCAACCATTAGTCTGCTGATATTTAATTCCTTAGCCCTTTTACACCCTCCATCGCAACCATTATTTCATCTTGAAGTGAGTCCCAACTCCAATTGGATCTGAAAATAGAGCAGTGGCTAAACCTTCCACCGTCCTAAACCCCTAAAGGTCCAAGGTAACCTTCACTGCTGCCATTAAAGTTCAACTTGATGAAACCTGAACAAGGTCTAGTCCACAATGGATGAGCAGAACTTCTACTTGGAGCTAAGACAGCCACTTCCAATTATTTAGCAAAGCCACTATATAAATGTCAACAAATAAGTCCATTGTTTTCACCCAATGGACCACCCTAGCAGTGGTCACCTCAATAATTGCCTCTTTACTTCTCTCCTTATCAACATAAATTCTTGGGTTTCTTTCCTCTTAGGCTGTCCAACAAATTGCAGCTCTTGTGCATCTCCACACTATTCTTCCCCTCTTCTTTGTACATCTATCAACAAAAGAATCAAAGAGGCTTTAAACATTTGGTTGGGGAGTTCACCTGCAACCAAACAGAGAGAGAAGCAGGAAATTAATAAGTGGCTGCAAGAGTCACTATTGGCTTCACAGAGAATACACTAGTTAGGAAATAAAAATAAGCACCAACAAGGATTTTTTCTTTGAATAGATTGCAAGTGTTGATTCTTTCCAAGAAAATTTCCTACCAGAGTGCCCTAACCCTTGGAGGAATTGGTTTACTAACGGGGAAAGGTTGCCCTGAATTGTTAGAAGGTTGAATTAAGGCCTTGAAGAAAGAGTCACAGGTAAAGGAACTAGAAGAGGAGAGAGTCCAAATTCAAGAATCCAATTTAGAAGGATCTAAAACAACCCTTTGTAGAATTTGAATCAATGCCAAGATATTGTCCAAAATCCAAATCCAAACCTCTGAATCCCCGCCTAAACCCTAAGTCCTATTCAAGCTTAGGACTCAAACCAAAAGAGGACAAGAAGGTGGGCACAGACTCATTTTTAAAGTTGGAGATAGAGAATAATAAAGGAAATTGATTGTTTAGTGGTGAATCCCCAACCACACATGTTCCCAAAACTTCACCAAATTCCCATAACACAACTTATACCTGACAAGAGGTAGGAAAGAAGGAAGGATGGCATGAATAGATTTTATTGGCACCACATTAGTATCTCGAGCCAATACTCCTGCGTCCTTGCTCTTAGCCACTAACCCATGGATGCATAAGATCACCTTTTTTCACAGTTTATCCATGTCCATTGACAGTCTCCACAACCAATTCCACAACAGAGCCATATTCCTCTTTTGGATGTTCCTGAATCCTAATCCACCAAAATTCTTACTTCTACTATCAACTTCCCATCTAACTTTATGGTCCTTCCTTTCCTCCTTAGGTTCCCACAAGAAATCTCTCATTAACTTGTCTAGACTCCTACAAATCCTAACTGGAATCTTGAACACCAAAAGGGAAACTGGCAAATTGGCCAAAGTCAACTTGATTAAGGTAATTCTGCCACCCAAAGAAAGGTAGTTTCTCTTCTAAGAAGCTAATCTCTTTATAAACCTGTCCACCACTGGGTTCTAGAAACTTACATTTCTCGGGTTTCCTCCCAAGGGTAACCACCAGTAATTCATTGGCCACTAGGGGACTTCATAGCCCAAAATATTTGTACACTCTGACACCTGTCTTTTATCCATATTGATCTCCATGACACAGCTTTTATTAGAAGTTTGATTTTCAAATTTGACATCTTCTCAAACAGTGGAACCACCAGCTTCAAATTCCTCATCCATTTGAGATCATCTCCCTCACAAATAAGATTGTGTCATCAGCAAACTGTAGATGGGTGATAGGCACTCTTTTCTTTCCTACTCTCCAACCTCTGACCAGTTCCCTCAAATCTGCTCTCTGGATCAGCTTACCTAGGATAAACTTGAGGATGTTAATGGTAAAAACAATGATAAAATATGTTCGTGACTTAGTGACTTGTGCCTCTTAATCATGTATGAGTTTGCTAAATTGTCGATTATTAAAATATTCTCATGATTATAAGAAAGATTTAGGTTTTTTTAGATGGATTGGTTGCATGTTGCACTTTAAATTCACAAAGTTTGCCAAATGTGGTTGTAAATGTGATTAGAGTAGTTATGCTTTACTGCTAAAAAAATAGTAGAGTTAGTTTACATTGGAGCAGTTGCATGTGGCATATACTGTCATGTCCTGAATGTGGTCGAGTTTTTGAGCTGTATTGAGCTTATGAAGTAATTAGAAAAGGAAAGGCCACTAGCTTATGGCAAAAGAACCACATTTTAATGCTTTTATCACCAATAACAGTTTTCTTCTCTTCTAGATATGGTTAATCAAGTCTTATATGTTATTGCATTAGTTGGAATTCTTAATCCATTATTGTACAGGAAATTTAGTGCTTTTAGCTGGGGAATGACCGTACCAGGGTAGTTCTTTTGTGCACTGTCTTTGATTTGAAAGATCTTGACGATGTAGGCTATTTTTCCTCCGTGTAGTTCATTGGGAAGAGGGGTTGTGACATACTTTGAAATGTGCCACCTGGACCGAAATATTTCTGATTACAGTCTCTCTTGATCAAGTTTTTTCTTTGAAGATCCTAGCATATCTTTCCTCACAAACACTCACAAAACAATTATAGCCCTTACACATCTCCATAAGATCCTTTCTTTCTTCTTGGGTTATGGGTAGGGGGGATATGGGCTGAACAAGCCTTAAATGTCACCTGGAGTATTCTACCTACAACCAAATAGAGGAAAGGAAGACTACCAAATACATGATACAAAGGACTAGGAGATTGGCAGGTTCTATAAATAGTTTCATACCTTGCTCTACAAGATAAAAAAGACAAAATTGTAGATGAGTGATAATAATGTGTCTTTCTGCCGTAAATTCTCGCAAGTGTTGATTCTTGAACGCATGACCTCCTAGTGCCCATCCCAAATGGATTTAAAGATTAGGGTCTCTTATTGTAAACCCTAATCTTTACCGAACTTGAAAAATGATAAAAAATGAGGCTAGGAGATAAAAATGTCAAGGTGGCTATTTTATTTGTGATGCCTAACTGCATACTAGAACTCAAGTAAAAATATAAGTTGCAAGTTAGGAAAATGAGGCAAAAGGGCCTCCCCTACCAATAGCTGATGTAGCACCTAAGAATCTTTAAAAGTAGGTTGCAATTGAATATCTTTCTCCTATTGCCACTGTTTAAAACTAAAAGAAATTAGAAATAGGTATAATAAGTGGTAGAATATGCTATGAATTTTCATACTAGTTCTTCAGCTTGAAAAGATATCTTTTGAGGAAATTGAAAAGTTGGTGAATTTGCACTTTACAGTATTACCACTTTCTTTCCCCTTATCCTTCCTTTCTTTCCCTTCCCTTCTCTTCCCGTCCCTTTTCTTTTTTTTCTTTTTCCCTTTTTTCTCCTATTTCTTTCCTTTCCCTTTCTTTTCCTTTCCTTTCATTTCTTTTTCTTTTTTTTTTTTGTCTTTTTATAGGTGTGCATGAGGTGTACGCCTCTAGCATGCCTTATGAAAAAAATGCACGAGGCGTACGCCTCTTGCACCTGAGGCGCATGGCTCAGGGAATTTTGGGGGCACCTCACCTGGAGGAGGTGTACTCCCACGCCTTTAAAAATTAAAACACTGCATCAATAGAATAATCTCCCAGATTTCTTATCCAAGATCTTGGATGGCATTGTATCTTGTCCTACTATTGTTTTGTTATGAGAATTTAGAAAGCATAAGGTATCATCGCATTTGTTTGCTTTGGGCCAGGTTATAAATGAAGATGATGAGGACAGCTCAGATGACGAGGTATCAGACATGATGCTTGATGAACCAAAACCAAGATTAAATCCAATTCCCAAGGCAAAGCCAGTTGATGAGAAGCAGATAAGAGAAACCGTAGAAGTGGAAGATGGATGGTCTGTAGTTGGCCCCAGAAGAAACAAGGGTAAAAGAATTATTAGGCCAAGTACTTAACATGCTCTCCTAAATCTCAATCAGAGGAGTGCCTCTTTGTATCCTCAAAATGTTTACTTTTCTAAGTTTTGGTCATATTACTATATAAGACTCTTGTAATATGCTTTGCCGATGGCCCAATGAAAGGTAATTTCTTGATAAGTTAGAATGTCTTTTGGAATTCAGATACGATGAAGCAAATGAATTAGTGACTATGAGCATAGCAATGAGGAAAAAGGAAAAACTCTCTTTTCAAACCACCCAGAAAAGAACTACACCCAACTATCCAAGCATGGAGAAAAAAAGTTCATGCTTCCCTAGGTAATCCATCTGTGTCTGCTATGTAGAGGAATCATGTTAGGAATCTGTACCATCCATCATATCTTTCCCAAGTTGCAGTCACTTGAACCTTAAAATTGTAGTGTTATTGATACATCTGTTAGATAATTAACTTGGTGTATCTTGCCTCTTCAAGGGATTCTTGTAAAATCTTGTTTCTCTTGATTAATGAAATCATTTTCATTTATCAAAAAAAATAACTTGGTGTATCATGGGTATACTAACAATTTCAGCCAGGGTCTCCAACATCTAAACATTTTGATTTGAGTGAGAACGAACCACATTCATGAATCATGCTGTCTACATTGGGAACATTGGCTATATGAAGTACAAGAGATGTTCCGGATGTGCAGATCTGAACTCGTCATTATCATCCAATAGGATTTTGCCATTCCATTCCCATTGGTTGGAGTTTGGATCTTGCATGCAAATGCTGTCATCATGAAAGTGAGAGTCTGGATCTCATGCCCACAAGAACTCTGCCCACGTCTGCCCACATAACATTGCAGGCACACAGGGAGAACATCACATCATCTTAGATAGTATTTTGCACGGGGTAGTGTGTTGTGGGTAGATGTGGGCAGAGTTCTTGTGGGCAGGTGATCCAAAGTTTGAAAGTGAGGAAAGGAGCAAGATGATGTGGTTCCCAACTCTCCATTGTATATGAGAGAGGATTGATGTAGGAGGAAGGTTGTGCAAATTTTGCATTCAAAAGTACAAATTTTATTTAAGATATGATTGATGCAAAATTTGTATTTGATTCTACAGTGAAAAAATCCTCGATGTAAGAGTCAGTGGATCGTTAGGGGATTTTTTATGTGAGAATCGATTATCGATGTAAAAAATCCTCGATGTAAGGTGTTCACTGACCAATGAAAATTAATGGGGGAGGGGGTGAGCTGGATTGGATATGACATGAGAAGGACTAAGGTCGCATTTGGAAACGTTGTTGTTCTCTGATAAAACTGCCATGCCATATTGGCTGCGACAACAACCCACATTTGCTACAACAGTATCATAGCCCTGCATTGAAACAAATAAATCAATGCCTTTGATTTATTGCCATGGCCTCACCTTGAATAAGATGAAATGGCTTCTTGATGGGGCGACTGCAACAGATCCAAGGTCATGATTTTCCATTTTAGCCCTGTGCTAAAACACATCACAGTAAAACTGAATTTCCGCCACAACAAGAAACATCAAAGATTCAAAATGACGCTTTCATGGGAAGTGAGTTTCCCAATGTCCCGGGTATTGTGTTTTTTCAAATAGCAGCCAACCAATTCATTGTTTTCCATCGTTAAAGTCACAATGTTGATTTGGTTTTGATGTGGCATCATTTTCTTTTTTTTTTGGCGAGGGTACCAAACATCCCTAAGGTGTACATCCTTCCAATACGGCCAAAATCAGCCTTTTCTACGGGTATTTTCTTATACTTTTATAAGCTTTTTTTGGTAAGCATTTTTCTTATACTTTTATAAAATCATTTGGATGGATTCAGTAATCTTAAATTATTATTGCATTTAAGTACAAAAGTTAAGAAAGAAAATTATAAAATAAATTATGAAGTGAATTTAAGTTGGATGCTTAATGGATCAAAATTAAAATATAATCTGTAATTTGAGTTTTAATACTTTTTAGGTATATATATAATTTTTAACTTATAATTTTATATTATTGTGAAAATGTCTTCTTTTGACCAACTTGTTGGGTTGATCGGTTGTGTTGGTTTTCTTTAAAATGTTTTCTTTTTTTTTTTTATGGGAGAAGGGTCTATATTTTCCACTTGTACAAGTGGGAAAAAGGTAAAACCCAGGATATTGTACCATTACCAAAATTAAAAAGGAAAAGGATATTGTACTCGTAACCTTTCGTGGGAGTTTTCCTTTTTCCCCCTTTTTTCTATATAGGTTAAGATCAGTTTTGATTCTTTGCCCTATGTTATTGGGTAGAGGGAGAGAGAGATTTCTCTCATTATTTTGTAAATATACATTGGAAGCTAACCTCCATTAATTGATACCAGAGCTAAGGTTTAATTCTAAGAAATTATTGGGGTTGTAAATTTGATAATACGTTGTCAGTTATACATTTGTTAATTTTGCCTGATGTCTGAGCTCTCAATTTTTTATCAAGATGTTCAATGAAAAAAATTCCACTTTATGTCAGAGAAAGGATTATCTAATTCAATAACGGACTCAATCTGGCTCAGTCCAACCCATCTATAATCTTTTCTGGTTACGTGTACATCCTTAAAATTTCAGAATATCTTGCAAATGAATCGACCGTTGTAATTTTTTTTTCTCACAAATCGCAAGCCTATTGAAAAGAAATCACAACAAAAGCAGTTGGAATTGCATTTAGTAGATGCAAAAATGTTTTTTGTTTACAAAGATGATGGTGCTTTGAATTTGAATATCAAAACTTTTTGCTTTTGAGTGTTGCTGTTGAATTTGGAGCCGAGGGCAGCTTGGTAACTTCTGAGGTCATATGACTGAAGGCCCCACCTGCAAAGAGTGAAAAGACGTCGGAGGACCCGGGAGTTTTCCTAGAGGCAAAGACTCTAACAGTCAAATTAGCCAAGGGCTGATGGTAAGCCAAGGTCATAAAAAGAGCAAAGAGAGAGAACTCAAGTGCCCTTGTCCATACCATAAGCTTTGGCGCCCTTTTATAATTGGAGTTGCCTGGGAGAGCAGTAACGGGCACTCAGTAACTGTCTCGTGAAAATCGGTTATGAATGGCTATTACAAGGACGATGACCGAGTATTACCCCATATAAATGCATTGGGAGAGAGTAAAGCCGAGATCGTAACACCTATAATAAATGTTCCCACAGTAATGATTCTAGGACGTTATGACAATGCTCCTGTCCGAGGTCAAGGTAACGAGATTGCCCTTGGGTGGTTGTTACTTACTTGATGAAGCAGCCGATGGTACCCGCATCATTAAGAATTATGTTTTTTAAATTCTCTTGATATTGAAAGGTTATGTTTGGTTTGAAGGAAAAGGTAGGGAAAAGTATATAGGATTTTCTACCTTTTCCTTCCTTTCCTCCCCTTTTCCTTAAAACCGAACACAGCCTGAATGAGTACAATTCTTGTGGTTAGTCAAGTAATGTATAAAGGCAAATTTCATTAAATCATGGTCAGATGACATACAATGTTGGAATCAAATAAACAGCCAAATTAACGACCCCAACAAATGACAAAAACCAAACAGGAATACTGAGGTAGGTGTACACAAGCTGAGCACAGGGAGTAGAAAACCGCTCCAAATGACGTAGAGTGTGAAGATGCTAAGACGAAGGATTGAATTCCTCCAACAGAGGTATAAACCTAAAAAGCACTACTCCGGCCCCGTAGAAAATCAGACCCTAATACCAAGCTAAGAAAACCTAAGAATTTATTTGTTTATACAACTAAGGGGTGTTCTTTTTTAGGATTTTAAGAAGAGGAATGTTGGTCAATGAGATTTTGATTTCAATTGACTAAGAATTTTATGTTTTTTTTTAGATTTATGTGGGGACAAGGATTGAATGAGACAAAAATACTCCTTTTGATAATGAATTTTTATAATTAAAATGATGATTGTCTTATTTGCATAAGAAATAAAAGAACATGAATAAATATATTTATTCAAATAAATGTTTCTCTGAAAAATTTATCCAAATAATTGCATTTACCTGAATAAATAACTTATCAAAAAAACAAACGAAACATAAATAATGTCATACTTTCGTTCATTAAATTTGTGAATTAACTAACGTACAGAAACAATTAGAATTGGTGTTATCATATCATCTAAAGAAACCGATTTCCGGGAACCTTAGCTCAGAAGTGAGAATCAGCAGCATTTGCATGTTGGCCTTTCCTTCACCCCAGAAAATCTCATCAACTGGGGTCCACTGTCTGCAATTTCTTGCATGCATTTCATATATCTTCTGCATCTGCACAAGGTTAGGTCCATAACAGGGCTCTTCTCTCTTCTCTCAATGGGAAATAGATCTGACTTCTCACTGTGTCAGTTGGCAAAAAGACAAGTTTTGGCCTTATCCAAGCATGCCGGCCGGTGCAAAAAATAATCTGGACGGGTTCCGCTTCTTACAATACAAGGCATGCATCAAGGCTCACTTGGCGCAGGCGCAGGTGCAGAAGACATCTTTCCTTCACAATAACGTGCATTATTTAGTTTGATTACACAATAATGTGCTCAATTATACACAACCAAAGAATCTTCCACCTACAATTTAGTTTGGGACCCAACATGTTTCACTTCGTACTGAAACCCTCAATGGGTGGTGGGGCCTAGGGCTGCAAATCGCATTGTCCGATTTGAAGAATTTCAACTACATTGGGCTTATTCCAAGCCTATTGACACGGTGTCGGTGGTCGGGTCTCTAAATGGTTCGAGGAAATGAAAGGATTTGAATTGGAAAGGAAGTCGCTAGAGTGCTGAAGGGGCTGTGTGAGTCCGGAGAGGGATCAGGCCTTCATAATCCTTTGTCCCAAAGTTGGTGATCTGCAAGAGGTTGAAAGAGAAACTGTCAGACTGAGGGGTGGAGGGGTGGACCAGATGGATCTAGCCAAGTTAAATATCTATGCCCTTACACAGGTCCATTAAAAATTTTAACAAATTTCCAACCAACCCAACCCTAGAAGCATCCTTAGGTGGACCTAGTCCCAAACCGATAAAACGGATGCAGATTAAATCCCAAATCACACCCTATTGTCTCTATAAAACCAGATCGATAACTGAACCGATTATTAAAATTGCGTCTGACCTGATTAGACCCAATTAGGGGTGCCAGCGGATCAGGTTTGACAAGG